ACTTATTAGATACAAGTCATAAGTACAACCTACATCCAAGGAGTGGGAGCTAAGCTCCACCTCCTTGAGAGGGTACTATCTATATAAAGTATTTGAAATTCTTCTGTACAGGATCCACTCTCTTTTAAACCTATTCCATCAGGAGTCTCCTATCATCGTTCTATTAAAAATGATCTTATTGAGGTCACCAATGTACTCCAACTTGATAAGTCCCATAGTAATTCTTAAAAAAAAAGATTTTATTTATTCATGAAAGACACAGAGAGGCAGAGACATAGGCAGAGGGAGAAGCAGGCTCCTTGCAGGGAGCCCAACATGGGACTCGATCCCAGGACCCCAGGATCATGCCCAGAGCCAAAGGCAGATGCTCAACCACTGAGCCACCCAAGTGTCCCAGTCTCACAGTAATTCTTTTAAATTTTTTTTATTTTTTTATTTTTTATTTATTTATGATAGTCACACACACACAGAGAGAGAGAGAGAGAGAGAGAGAGAGAGAGAGAGAGAGGCAGAGACATAGGCAGAGGGAGAAGCAGGCTCCATGCACTGGGAGCCCGTTGTGGGATTCGATCCCGGGTCTCCAGGATTGCGCCCTGGGCCAAAGGCAGGCGCCAAACCGCTGCGCCACCCAGGGATCCCTCACAGTAATTCTTAATCTTTATCTTACCTGATCTATCATCAGTATTTGTCAAGCTGACCACTCCCTCCTTCTTGATATACTTTCTTCACTTGGCTTCTGAGACACCATACTCTTGTTATTATTGCTATTTTGTTTTGTTTTGTTTTTTTCCTAGTTCTCTAGTGGCTCCTTCCCAGTCTCCTTTGTGAATTCCTCTTTTCTCCTGACTCCTTAATAATGGAATTCCCAAGGGCTCAGTCCTTCAACTTCTCTTCTCCAGCTTTACAAATTCCCTTAGTGATATTATCTAAACAGGTAGTTATAAGTATTATTTGTATTCCCCCAATTTTTATCTCCAGGCCAAACCTCTTTCTCAAACTCCAAACTCACATATACAACTGCTTACTCAAAATCACAAAATGTATATGAAAAAACACTACATATTAAATATGTCTAAAACCAAATTCCCAATCTCCTCCACCCTAAACCTAGCTCTATCTAAAGTTTTTGCCATCACAGTGCATGGTATATACAACCTTCTAGCGGCTCAAATCAAAACATCCTGGAGTTACCTTCAACTTCTTTCTTTCTCTCTCCCTTCACATACAGTCATTAAGAAAACATGCTGACTCTGCACTCCAAATCTAATCACCTGTTACCATCTCCACAGCTACCATCCATGATGCCATCAAATCTCCCTAAATTAGTGTCACAGCTTCCCGACTGGTCTCTCTGTTTACACCCTACAGTTTATTCTCAAAACCACAGTCAATGTTATTCCTTTGAAATATGTCACATAGTATCATTCATCAAATTCCTGCAATAGCTTCCCACTTCACTCAAAATAAAAGTTTAAAACTTGACAGTGGCCTACCACACATCCCTGGCACCTGTGATCTAATCTCCTGAGTCACTTCCCCTTTCTCACTCCACTCTAGCTTTATCCTAGCTTCCTTACTATTCCCTGAACTGACCAGTAACTTAATACCTCCAGATCTTTGCTCTAATTTCTGCCAAGAATGCTGTTTGCCCTTCAATATGTCACCATCATTTCAATATGGTAACAATGATATGTCAATAAAAAGATGCTGCTCTTTTTATTAAAAACAAACTTGGACCTCTACCCAGACTCCTGATTCCCTTAGCCCAGATTCTTTTTTCTCTTCAATGCATTTACCTCCTTCTATCATACTAAATGATTTACTATTTACTTTGCTTAGTATTTACTGTTTTCTGCCACTAGAATGTAAGCAAGGACCTCTTTTGTTGTTGTTCTTGTTGCTGTTCACTTATTTATCCATAGGGCTTAGATCATGCCTCTTACGCAGCACGTACTCAATTAATACTATAAAGTTAATAAGCAAGTTATTTATCATAACACGTCATCTTGCTGTAATCTTCTAACTTCTCTTAGTTAAAAAACCATCTTTGCACTAAACCTGACAATCATTGTTTACTTGTCCAGACCTCTTTAACAACACGAAGTAATATGCATTGAATATTTACTACTTATTAGACACTGTTCTAAGTACTTCATACGTTCATTCATTCCCCACAACAACCGTAGGAAATACATGCTCTTATTGTCCCCATTTTACACATAAAGCCAAGTAATTTCCCCAAGAACACATTTATTAAGGGAAGAGAACCTAGGCAGAATTGGAATCCAGGCACTCTGCTTTAGAACACACACTCTTAACCACAGTTCAGCTGCCCTTCTTCCCAGTCTAAGGAAAACAGCTAACCCTGCTGATTGAGTAGGGATAGGCACATAAGGTCTGAGAGTACAAAACATTCAAGTTACCATAAGCGAAAACTGAAAGGCAATGTTGAGTTGGCTCAATGTGGGGAAGCAAAGATGCAATGAGAAAAAGCAAGAAAGCCAGGTTACAGAGAGAAAAAGCTAAAGGATAGAGCATATGGACAGAAAAAAAGAAGAAATAAGATATCATATAAATTCAAATAAGACAGGCAAACAGACAAACATGAGCTTATATGAACGTTTAAGTCCTGAAAGAATTGTCTGACAACCTGAAGTAGCATTCAGTGAGTTTTGTATGCTTATAATACTTCTATTGTTTGAGTGGCTCTGTGCTCGCTGTCACAAAATCATCTCTAACCAGAACAATTTCCATATTACTATGGACTTCTTGTAAAAATGCCTTTGTTCTGATGAAATAATTAAATCAATATGGAAGGCAGTACATTATAGTAAAAGTGAATTAAGTTTGGGAGAAAACAACCCAGACATAGGTCTCATTTCTATCATTTTGTTAACTACATAACTGTGGACAATCCCCCTACACTTCAATTACGCCTTCCAAAAATTGGTAATAATAACACATGCCCAGCCAGTTTCCAATGTGACTAATATTAAATGAAATGGTATCTGTGATGGGCTTTGACGAATACAAACTGTTTCATAAACATTATCTAATGTGATGATGATTTCAGATGGGAACTCACTTCAGTTCCCTGTATATGAGGATATAATGTCTTCTCTTCCCAAGGTGAGCAACATAGTTATTCAAAGATTTACTGGCTGTTTATAAAAATCACTGAGTCTGTATTTGTCTATCCACGCATACACCACCATAATAGCCAAAATAAATAAATGTATGTAGATGTTCCTTCAGCCATATGCAAAGATATTGATAATGAAAGTGCATTATTGCCTAGAAAGATTCAGTGACTTAGGAATAATACTTAGTATTCACTGAAATAGTGCCAAGAACTATGATCTAGTCATTGATAAGCTTCTACTGCTTCTCCCAATCCTGACCTGATCTGCATATGCCCTAAAGGACAACGGAGTCAGGAAAACTGAAGAACTGAGAAGTTCGGTCTTTCTCTTCAGATGTCACAGTAAATCAACAGCACAGCCACAACCAAACTAAAGACAGTTCTGAGGCCAAAGCTGTTTCTATCGCACCATGTGCCTGCTATACTACTTGTTTAAAATGTTTTATGAGACTGTCAAATCAAATGGCCTAAGAAAACTTATCAAGTTATAATACAGGGAGAGTTCACAAAATAAATAACCAACTTCCTGTCCTACTTGGGATTCATAAAAGCAGAACAGTACAATACACCAAAAGCAGGAGGACTTCCTACTTCTCATTCCATTTCATTCCATTTTTCTTTAGTTTTCCTGATGATGAAAAGAAGTTAACCTATTCTCGGATACACAAAGATAATACTAATGTTTCTCTACCAAGCAACAGAAAGGAAGCTCTACAAAATGAGGGAACTGTCCTAAATAATGTCAAATGTAACTTTCAGCCATAAAAAAAAGTTTGTTATAAATGGGACTCAAATACTGCCAAAGTTCCATGTTATAATATTTTAAAATCTTAACACAGGGAAAGAAACAAACAGTCTAGAATCTGAAGTAGATGTTCACCTGGCTTCCAGCTGTCTTTACCTATGAGTCAGCATCATTAACCATTTGCCTACTTTCACCATTAACTTTGACAGTGTATATCTGAAAATGTCAATTTTTCCTAGAGCAACTGACTTTCAAACTACACCACCTCTGCAAGTAAAACAGATGGCCAACAGCCTTTCCCTTTCCCTGTGAAAAAAATTCCTCCAAGCTCTCACTTTTGGCACTATAATTTCCATAAAATGGCAGGTTGATGCTCCCATGCAATCCTGGGTTTCCAAGAGAAAGGAAACTTCACATCTTTCTAAATTTTAGGACTTTACGCCAACGTGCCAAATCTTCAGTTTGCCAAATTACTGTTCTCAACATGTGTGTAATATCCCTCCTCGCTTTGTGAGATTCTGTAAGCTTCCACAGAAATGTGACGATTGCCTTTCTCTCACATTTCCTCAATCCCAAATTCCCAGACTCACATTCTGATAAAGAGTAATTTACCATTCATATACAGGAGGTATCTCAGAAACAAAAGCTGAGTCTAACACTAACCATGGACTGTAAGTCCCAATATCTTTGGCATCAATGATTTATGCAGACAAGATGTGATTTCATATTGTATGTTGTATTTGAACTGTCATTCATTTGGATGGAACGTAATGTTGTCTATATTCCACAATCAACAATTTTGTTTTTATATAACTGATGGCAAATAATACAAATTTATTACAGCATCTTCAGAAAAGAAAACAAGTTAAGCTGGTGAAAATAGAGAGAGAGAAAGAAAGAGAGAGAGAAAGTGACTTCTCAAAAATGTAATAGATTTCTCCAAGGTGACCAAAGAGCAAAACAAATTACTTGTTTTGCACTTTCAATTAGGAATCCATTAGGAAGAACGTGATGGGCCTTACAGAAAGTTATAGTTAACTCACAAACAGGACCCAGAGCTTAGGACATCTGTTCACATATTGCCTTGGCTGCCTCCATTAAGAGCAGCTTTACCTCAGTAAGTCCAATATTCTTCCTTTTAATGACATTCTGCAGGGAGTTGCTCAGAGTCCTGGTTAGCAACAGGTTTGTAGATTTGCGAATCATGTCATCGACTTCAGTTGAGCTGAAAAAGAATTCTCAAGAGTCAGTCATACTAGGTAGCAGGATTACATTGCAAACAAGGTGCCAGTGGTACTTCTAATAATGATTAATAATAATAATAATAATGGCTGCAAAGAACATTTATTTTGTGCCAGAAATTATTCTAAGTACTTTAATATATTAAAATTGATTTAAATTTTACACTAATGATACTAATTACTTTTATTATTAATTCTAATTTGCAGATGAGGAAATGAAGACACAGAGAATTTAAGTTACTCGTTCAAGGTCACACAGTACGTACACACCACAAAAAAAAGGATTTTAACACAGGCCATCTAGCTCTAAAGACCACATTTAAACACTATGCTGTACTGTCTCTCAGGGTAGATAGAGTTTCCCAGAATGATTCCTTATCCTGAAACCATTATTTCTCTTATGCTTCCAAGTTCCTTCACAGATTATTGTTTATAACTTTCCAACATGGTCTTTCTATTGGTTTCCTGCACAATCAGCTGATAAAGGCCCCTAAGAAGATATCTCTGCTCCTATCCTGTCGTCATTCGTATAATGTCTACTTAGCTCTGATTCGAAAATAAGTATTTTAGACCAGCAGTTTAATTCTGCATAAATGTCTTATAATCCTTACTACCCCCAAAATTATCAATAAAGACTTTTTTCTTTTTTTAAAATTTATTCACTCATTTTTATTCCAATGGACATTATTAAGTCCTTATTATATGTTGTTGTTGTTTTCTTAAGTAAACTCTACCTCTAACATGGGGCTCGAACTCACAACTCTGAGATCAAGAGTCACATGCTCTCCCAACCATGCCAGCCAGGTGCCCCAATAATGACATTTTCTACACACTAAAGGAAACTAAATATAAAGAAAATGATTCAATAGACATCTTTGTATGCAAAGTTTAAAAAAAAAAGACAATTGTTCCATAACCAATAACCTAAATTCTAAGCCTATACATCCTTCATGAGCCCCTGAAAGCATCATCCAAGATGGCTTTCTAAAAAAAGATATCCTTTTAGGACAAATAGCTCTTCAATGATAAAATTACTTTGTAGAAATACTAGTTTATAAACAGTAAGAAATAACTGTAAATAGAGATTTGTGAGTTCTTGTAAATTTATTACTTGTGAACAATGGTCACAAAATTTTTTCTCATCGATTTCTCTTTCTAGAGAAGAAAATCAGAGGTTTCATATAGTCAGATTAAAAATATTATAATTCTAAATACATAGACAAGCTACATTATCATGCTATGTAGAAAATAGAAAAATACTAAAAACAAGCAAGACTACAGAATGCAAGAACATAATCAAGAAAAAATAATACATCAAAATATTTTCACAGGGTCCATGTAAGGATACATTTAATTGGCCAATACTCTCTAGACCACGGCTAACCTTACCAAAATTATTACTGAACTGAAATACTTCATTCCACAAATATATGAGGTGTTAGGCATTGAGTTGGTGGAATAATGAGATCAAAATGGTGAATGAACAAAATGGTCATGGTTCCTGCCTTCACATATTAAATTCATAATTACATCAGGTCAATTGTAATATGAGCTACAAATAAGTATAGGTTGCTATAAACTATACTTAACACAGGTGTCTAAAGTAATCTGGTGTCCTTGATATTAATCACTCTCACGACATCCCTGTGCTGATTATGTATCTCTATTATGGTTTAAGAAGATCTAGCAGAAGTTCCACATTTGGATATGATGTAGAAGATCAAGAAAGACCACATTACTTTCATAACAACCAAAAAGTTAGGTCTAATATTAAAAGTTGTATTTTCCCTTGATGTCAACAAGGTATGATTAACACATATACACAAACGCCTAACTGAACAAAATTGCACACCACACCAGGATACGCCTTTGAAAGGGTAGCAGTCACTTTCATACCTGAGGCCATTTGCCTAATTTGGGTACAGATGGATAAAGGATAAAAGACTGAAATAGTCAGAGGCTGAAAGGCTTTGCTGAGATAAAGAGAAATCAGCCAAACCTTTAACTGCATGGGCTGCTATTACAGTTCGGAATCCAGGAAAGCCTCGAAACAAAAATAAACTAACTGACGCAACATATCTCCACTACAAGAGTTCTGCTCCATAAGAAATGGTGAAGGCAGTGCAAGAAATCAGAAAGAGATCTTGCAAATTCTGCAAAGGGTTTTGGATTCAGGGCTACTGAAATGCAATCCAAAAGAAAGAAAAAACTAACTAATGTTGAAACCTAGCCCAGCTCAAATCCCGTTAAGATGAGAGATAAGTTCCTGGATGAAAGCTTTGGAATTTCAGAGTTGGTCTTAAGGACAAAGAGACTTCTGGAAATAGCATTTGAAATCAGAAGTAATTTGAAGCTAATTAAAATTGAGACATTCAGTTCACTCAAGTAATGATGAACCTGAATGATCCATCAAATGCAGCTAGGAGTTGCAGGGAAAAAAAAAAAGAATGAGAAAGAAGACATATTTAAAGAAATTTTGGCAAAATCACCTCCAAACATGATAAAATATTTCAACCCACAGATCCATGAGGTTTAGTATGTTCCACATAAAATTAATTATAAATAAAACAATACTTATGAATATCACAAACTGTAAAGTCCAAAGACAAAAAGAAAATCTTAAAAACAATCATTGCAAAAAGACAATACATTCAGAGGAAAAACAACAGGAATGATGGCTTATTTCTCTTCATAATACAATGGAAACAGATAGTGGAAAGCAATCTTTAAAGTATGGAGAAAGGGAGGACTAGCAACCTAGAATTCTGTGCCTCAGAAAATATATTTTTGAAAACAGAGATGAAAAAGATTATTTTGCAACTATTTTAGAGGGGTGCCGGGGTGGCTCAGTTGGTTAAGCGTCTGACTCTTGATTCTGCCTCAGATTGTGACCTTGGGTCTTGAGATGGAGCCCTGTGTCAGGCTCCACACTGGGTGTGGAGTTTGCTTAGATTCTCTCTCTCTCTCTCTCTCTCTCTCTCTCTCTCTCTCTCTCTCTCTCCCTGTCTCTCTCTCTCTCTCTCTCTCTCTCTCTCTCTCTCTGTCTCTGCCCCTCCCCCACTCTTTCTCAAAAAAAATTAAAAATTTAAAAAAATAAACTATTTTAGAAGTATTTTTAAAAGCTAAGAAAATCCAATACCAGCAGATATAACACTAAAGGAAATGCTGAAGGAGATTTTTTAATGCAGCAAGAAGATGATACCAAAGGGTAACCTAGATATGTAGGAAAGAATGAGAAGGCCTGAAAATGGAACATACGTAGTGGGCAAAAATAAATAAATGTATTTTTTTTTCTTGAACTTTAAAATACTATTAAATGTTCAAAGCACAAACAACAATATATTTTAGGGTTAAAAAGAGGTATATACATGCAATACATACCAACAACGTAAAAAAAAAAAAAAGGAGATGACAAATTATACTGTTGAAGATTCTTAAATTACACGTAAAGTGAAATAATATTATTCAGGAAAAACTATGATAAGTTAACAATGTACACTGTGATTCCCCAGAGCAACCACACAAACAAATAATTAAAATAACCAAAAAGTTATATTCAGGTAAAGCCAATAGGGAAAATAAATCATAATACTAAAAAAACCTAATCAAGAAGAAGAAAGAAAAACAGGAAAAAATGAGCAAAGAACAAATGAGACAAAGAGAAAAATAGTAGCAAAATAGCAGGCCTCATTCCAACTATATCACTAAATTCATTAAGGTAATGGAATAAACAGTCCAACGAGGCAGATTACATTAAAAATCAATATGCAGGGGCACCTGGGTGGCTCAGTAAATTAAACAAACGTCTGCCTTTGGCTCAGGTCATGATCCCAGGGTCCTGGAATTGAGCCCCACATCAGGCTCCCTGTTCAGCAGAGAATCTGCTTCTCCCTCTGCCACTCTCTCTGCTTGTGCACTTGCTCGCTCTCTCTCTCTCAAATAAATAAATTAAAAAAAAATTTTTAAATCCAATATGCAACCATTTATTGATTCAAAATGATGCATTTTAAAATAAAGACACATGTCCAGATCGTATTTTCAAGATACCACTCAACACTGAAAGGAAGTGCTCCTTGTATAAATCAATGATACCGTGATTAAGCAAGAAATGTCCCAAAACGTGATAGGAATACATCAATAAGGCATAGGAACTAGTCTGAAATGGCTCACATGCCATATGTCTGGGACAGTTGGAGCATCAAAATAAATAAAGATAGTGAAGGAATGAATGAAGTAAATTAAGTAAGAATCCATGAGTCTCATTTGATGATAGGTAGATGACAAAGAGACAGATGATAGGCAGCAAGGAAGCAGACTCCTTAAAATAGAATGCTAAGTAAAACACAATTAAAAAACCATAAATTAATTAAAAATCATAACTAATTATCAGAATGAAAAACTGATTCAGGAAAGAATCATTAATGGACTTAAAAAGGAAGGAAGTGAGGAATATCTGATAACTAACAGAATATACATTTCAACATAAGCACAAACATTACTTATTATAAAAAAGAAAATGATAATGATATACTGGGAGAAAAGACAATATTTCAACTAATCAAAATTAATATAAACCACAGGGCTTTTAATAGTATACACACACACAGATACATACATAGTAAGAAACAGCTAGGGAGGTGAAGCATTATGAGGGGGAATATCCCATATATTCCTTTTATATAAAGAATTTCCTTTCATTTCATGCCAACACTACAGGTGCATTGGCAATGAATTATCTCAACTTTTTTTTTTGGCTAAAATAAAAATTTGCATGGTTTCTGAAAGTTATTTTGCTGCCTATAGAATTCTTGCTTGATTGGTTCTTCGGAGTCTTTAAAGTATGGCACTCCATCCTCTCAGGCTTACATAGTTTCTGAGAAGTCGGCTTTAACACTTTTCACTATATCTGCTGTAGCATCTTCTTTTTGCTAAATGCCTTCAGGGCATTATGTTACCTTTTATTTTCACTTGTTTGAATAAAATG